CGCAGGCCCTCGTCCGCTCAGCTACTGGGATCTGACCACGGGCTCGAGAAAGATGGATGAACTAAAACTAGTTCAGAGCTCTTAAAATGGGACCCATTGAGCAATCTGAGACTGACAAACTGATGATATATTCTTTCTGCTCTGTTTTCTTGCATAATATAAAGGGAGTATAACTTCTCTGTGTGACAAAGTATCTAGAAATGCTGCATAGAGCATCTGGGCGCAGGATGGAAGTGGGCACCTAAGCACGTGGTGTTTGATGTTTTTCTTAATTTCAAGAAGTCTTGTGAGGTAGGTAGTAACATTATCCCAATTTTATAGTCGAGGAACATGAATCGCCAAAAAGCAATCTGTCCAACCAGTAAAAGGGAATAGATTGAGTTACAACCTAAGTACAATGAGCTCTCTTCCAGGCTGCCACTAGAAAGAAGGACATTTGCTTTTCATTAATACACTATCTGGCAAGTAGGAGAAACTCAATGAATCTGAAATGAATGGGCAAATAAGTCAGTTAACGCTCGGCTGACCTGCTGCGGCTGTCAGCAGGAAGTCAGGGGCCAGTGTCTATCTTCTGCAGTCTGAGTGTGCCAAGTGCTTACAACTGGCACTTTCAGCATTTGACCTGCAAGTTTCTTTTAAGGCAAGTGCTGGATTTTGATATCCCTCATGCCTAGAAGGCACTGGAATGAAAGACTAATTAAGACAGATCATGAATCCTGATGCAGGGGATTACAAAATTGCTCCTTTCACACCAGCCTGTCTAGATTCAGACCAAATCATCTGAAGTCTGTAGCCTTTACTCTGACGCTGTGCCAGCTGCTTCTTCCCAACAAGAGTGAACGTCTGGCCGGTCTTGAATAGCCCAGCCTGTGGATGACACACCAGAACGGCAGAGCACGCAGTTTTGGCAGAGCCAGGCTTCACACTAAAGGCAGGTACAATAGGGCGGTTGTAAAACTCTCTAGGTGTAGAGAAAAAACACGGCAGCGGAGAAGAAGGCCATCTTGTGACAGCTGCCTGTGTTGGCCAAGCAGAAGCATTAATGCGCTGCAGGGTTCAATCTGCATTTACATGGAGTCCACGAGTCCAGTGTGGCAGCTCGGTAAGCACAGCAGGGGCTTCTTCGTGACTTCAAGGCTGAACACGCTGGCTGGCACCCGTCAACGCACATCTGGACTCGGTCAGGCAAGTTTTTGTTTTTGTTTGTTGAACTGGCCCTTGCTCTTCCTCAGATGCACGCCCTCCAGTGCTGCTCTGCCATGAATGAGTTACAGAGACAACCACCCTGGGGTGGGGGGGAGGGGTGCTGTGTGGTAAAGAAACTGGGACTGCTGCTATTAGAGGGTGTCCTTCAAATCCTTAAATCCCTTATTGCTGCACTTTTTCCTGACAATGGGCACCACACACGAATGACAATAGCCTATCAGACAGCGGCAGCTCCACTGATTGGAAAACCTGGTCTTTGCTGACTGCTTCCTCTTTAGGAAATGGCCTTTAGATTGAAACACAGTCCAGCAATTCAAGGACTCCGCTCTAAATGAAAACAACATTGATGCCAGATCCTCTTTCCCGGAGGCCGCTCCCTTGTCTGGACTTTAATACACAAGCTTAGAGAAATCACAGATCCAGCGTGTCTCTGGCACGACCCATTCCTTCTTGCTCACAGCAGCCCAGATACGTCGTGAGTGGGCAGGAACGGGAAACTGCGTGGGAAGGAGAAAGAAGGAAGGGCTCCTGAGGAATTATATTTGCTCTCCATCCACATGTAGCGCTACAGATTACTCAGGGCGCACAGCGAGATGTAAAAACACTGGCTCACTGCCACAGAGCCCGATTTTACTCTCGGTGACCCTCTAGGACAGAGCAGCACTGCCCCTGTGGGTGTCTGAGGCTCTAAGTCAGCGGTTCTCAACCTGGGGGTCAAACGACCCTTTCACAGGGGTCGCCTGATTCGTAACAGTAGCAAAACGACAGTGATGAAGTAGCAATGAAAATAATTTTGTGGTTGGGGGGGGCGGTGTTAATCTGTGTACTTTGGAGAAACAAATCCACAGAAACTCATGTATAAGAGAGAGAGAGTTATATAAAGGGTAAGTGCACATCAAGAAAACATCCCAACCCAGTGCTGCCCAAAGCCCACAAGTCCCAACATTAACCCATTAACCCATATGTCTGACCCCAATCCACCAAGTCCTCCTCCATCTCACAAAACAGATTCAATGATGCTGACTGCAGGAGGAAAGCTGAGTCAGTGAATGTGTAAGCATCTCAGCGCTGGCAGGGGTCTCCCCACGGGTGCTCCAGCACCCAGGGCTGCATTAGGGTAGGTCCATGTGGCTTCTCCTCAGGGATTCCTTGCAGGAAGTGAGCCTTGTCAGCAAAAGCAGAGAACTGGCTAAGGCAGCTGCACCCTGGTCCGACCATCAGAAAGTAAGAGACCCAAGAACTCGAAAGGCAAGGCTCACCGAACCATTTATTCCTCAGCCCTTCAATTAACCCCACATGTGTTTATCAGTCAGGTTGGCACAATAAACTAACTACCTCAGGGGGTCACCACAACATGAGGAACTGTATTAAAGGGTCAAGGCATTAGGAAGGCTGAGAACCACTGGTCTAAGTCTTTACAGAAGTAGAACGCCTCCGTAGAGGAGAGGAGCTAGTGGTTCTGAGCCGCCGACCTTGTGGCCGGCAGCCAGCCCACTATGCCACCGGTGCTTCCAGATGCAAAGAGGTTGTGGATTTCGGTTTGTTTTTTAAAAAAAATTTTTAAGAATCTGAAATTTTTAGCTTCTGCTTCTAAAGTAAAAAGTGCATACAAAAAAAAAGTGCATACATTAATTTCCTTAATGACTGAAAACATATAAACTAGAGATTCGAGTAATCAAAATCACTGTGGATGAGATTTAGTACTCTGGTCTGCTAGACAGACAGTCTATTCTATTTGGTGCTCCAGAAGGAAAGACCACAGACTGCTTAAATCATGCCCTCTAACAGCACTCAGGCCTACCTACTCAGGAGAACTAACACTGTCCACAACGAAGACGCACAACCTGGTGAGTTCTGTCCTCAACAACAGCCCCGTTTCAGATGATTTACTCTAGGAAGCCAAATCTGTTTTCAACCAACAGACGCATGTCTTTACTAATAAGGAATATTTCCTTTTTACATACTATTGCTATTGTGTATAAAGCTGGTCTCCACTCGCAGCAACCTGACTGAGGGGGTAGAATTCCCCACAAGATTTCCTAGACCGCCTTTACAGGAGCAGGACACCAGGTCTTTTATTCCGCAGAGGTGCTGGTGGGTTAATTACCGGGAGTGTAAACATTGTACCCCTGGTTCTACTTAAGCAGCCAAAAGTTAAACCAATGTCCTTGACAAGGTCGTTTCACTACGATCAAGTCGATTCCGACTCAGGGACCTTATGTGACAGGGATTTCTAAGACTCTTTAAGGGAGTAGAAAGTCTCAACTTTCTTCCAAGGAGTGGCTGGCAGGTTTGAACTGCTGACCTTGTGGTTAGCAGCCTAATTTGTACTTGTTAGGTTTTTCAGGTGGGAAATACCAGGGTTCTTGGCTTCGCACAAAAAGGAATTCACGCTGAAGCCTGGTTTGTGATCCAAGTGGGTTTTTGTAAAGGAAGGAAGAAGTTTCAGGTTTTATAGTCACTGTACATGGGCAGCCTCGTGGGATTGCACACGCATACCACACTCACACAAGGAGGCCAGAGGGACACGAGGCACAGACTAGTGGAAGGCGGCCGTAAGGTCCCGGTATTTGGGGCATTTGGCTGGGAGGCATGGTGAAAGGTATTGGTTGACCCCACTGACTGAATGAAGCCCACCTGGCCTAGTTTGGGCCCACCCAGGTGTACTGCCCACCTGGCTCAGGCTTGAATTGGCACATGCCCCTTAGCCTTTATGGCTGGCTGAGCTTCACCTGGTTCTCTTCCAACCTCTTCTGTCTGTGGGGGGTGGGAGGGTGGCAAAGGGTGGACGACGACTCCACGCATGCAGAGTGGCACCCCTGTCCGTTTCTAGCTACCTAACATACCCACTACACCACCAGGGATCCATAAAGTAGTTAGGACCCGGGAACAGCTTTCTCTAACTTGTAAATGAGCAAGGAGTTAATTTTGGGAGGTCATCTGAAGAAAAGGGACATCTTTTTGTCATTTTATCTGCAAAGTCAGCCATTTAAATAAAGTCTTTTTCTAAGCAGTTTTAGAGAAAAAATACCTTTATGGTATAAATACAGATTCCTGTTAATTTGAACGTTAAATAGTTCCCAAGAACCCTATCAAACTGATCCCTGATCTCCCAGAGCAGAAAAGAAGGCATGCCTGCACCCAAGAAGCTCCTTTCCAATTCCATGATTTTAGGCAGTAAAGCAGTTTCAGTGAGCCCAAAGCACAGGAAGCGTGACTGTGAGCGTGGGCGAAGACACTGGAGGACAGGGCAGCGGACACTGTGAACAGTGAGGGGTCGGCTGTGATGCGTGACAAAAAGCGGGCTTAGTATGTAATGATCCAGCATTCTCCTTATCTAAGGAGACATGTTTAGCTTGTGTTTCTCAGATTAAAGGCCTTGTACACAAGTTAAGTGTTAAATTAGGCAAGATTTGCATTGGGAGTGAGAAAGGCAAAACTCCGCCTTTTCCTTCAGAGCTTTTGTGAAAACATACTTAAGCCTGCTGTAGCGGGATATCTAATTGGATCTAAGCGGGATAAGGCTTTTTCATTTCAGGTGGGCTGAACGTCATTCCTTTCATCCAGCCACTGACCAAAGTTAAATCAAACTCGAGTCTGGTAAAGAGGAGAAACAGGACTGCTACTGAAAACGAACTGGGGATCATCATTAGGTATCTAATACGAGACATAAGACCGCAGCGCCTCCAGACTGCTCATTCAAGCTGGCAGAGAAATTCGTGTGAAAAGAGAATGGTGTGACCGGCAGGCGACTGCACCTCCTCCATGGGACCCTCCCCAGCGCTCAGTCCTACCTGCTGCTTGAGCTGCTGGACCAGCCGGTCCTTCTCCCGCTTGAGTGCGGCCACTTCGTCTTGAGTCTTTTTCTTAGACGAGGAGAGCTCCAGAAGCGCTATGTTGGCATCTTTTTCACTAATGGCAGCTAGAAGAGCTTCTTGCCTGAAAAAGAAAGCAAATGCAAAGGCTCATTTCATCCTCGCAGATGTCTTGAAGTCTCTACTACTATTACTGCCGTTTTAAGGTGATGAAGTGCGGCTGAAGCAGTTACAGAGCCTGCCCAAGTTCACACTTGGAATAAACGGTGCAGCCAGGAGTACCAATCAGGTCTTTCTGACCCCGGATGTCTCTCTCATGTTGCTATCGTGCCATTTCCACACAGCGTCCCTACAGACAGATGCAGTTCTAGGTATCATGTCAACCAAGCCCGAGACATTTATCTTTAGTACAAGGAATCCTGTCACCTACACATTTTCATCCATTTAACGCATGCCTTTGATAAGGATTCTGTAGCTTCGAGGCAAAGCAGTCATACTGAAATGGAAAACATTTTCATGTATAAAGTGTATAACAGATTGTAAACGTCAATAAGCAGGATTCAGAAACACGGCCATCTGTTCCAGGGGCATTCAGAACTTGAAAATTGTTTTTAATCTCATCAATCAAGTAAGTTTCCAGTTGTGGCTTTCTTTGGCAGTGAGCGACACACTTTGAAACAGTAATTTAAACTTTATATATTTCTTGTGGTTTAGCTAACTGCTTTATGGTTCATGGCCAGGGGGTTACCAAAAAAGGGGGTGGGGGTGGGGGGAAGGTGAGATTTAGGAGGGCAGTGGACATGACAATTTTACAAAATCATCAGAATGAAGTTGGTGAACAATTAGTCTCACAGTACAAAACGTATTCTGTAGGAGCTCATCTTTTATGCAGGCCATCTGTCAGATGAGACTTGATTTGCAGGAACCGTCTAAGTGGCCTGAGCTTTTGACCTGAGGAAATGCTGAACCTGACAATGCACTAGAATGCACTATCCAAGTTTAACCTTGTTTCTATCTTTCGTGAAGATAATGATGCTTCAATGGCACTCATGTGGAAGAGTTCTAGTTTAGCCACATGCTGGAAGGCGATCTTCTCCCAGGCCCAGGCTTTACTCTGGGTGGTTCCGGATCCTGAACTCTGAGCAAGCAAAACTAACAAATGGAAAAGGCACACCAGTTTATATCATGGAAATGAAGACGTGTTTAACTGGTCTTTGCTGTTGGAAAGAATAAAGAGGAGATTCTCATTCACTTCAGTATCACTTCCCACTGTCTCCACACTCATGTAATTCTAAGACATGGCAGACGGTTTCCAACACGAGGCTCTAGTCAACACCAAAGGGATAGCGACAGTCTAAATATATCCATGAACCACTTGAAAAAAAAATATGTTAAGTGGTGAAATGAGCTTAAAGGTGAAGGAGTTCAAGATGGTCTCACTATGCAGAGTTTCCTGTTGATTGCTGTCATCTGTTCCCTTGTGGGAAGCTCAAAGACTGACAAAGATGGAATGAGAAATGTGCTTTCTCAATAGGGGTGTTGCATTTCTGTGTGCCATTAGTCTGACTCAAACGCCTAGTGGCAGGCAGAGAGAAGAGGAAAGAAAGACACATTACTTGATCTAACTAGAGGGAGTGTCACCACCACCTTTGCTGAACATCAAGCACAAAGGCGCTAGGTTTTCGTGCTACTCTGTTTAAGGAATGCATCATAAAACAAAATAGTAAGACATATTCCACGGTGACACATCTTGACTGAATTCCAAACTGTTTTCATAAATAATATGCTTGGTCCGCTATCGGGCACAAGCTAAGCTCTGGAGTAACACATCAAATTCCTCAACTATAATGTGATAGACCAGGTAACAATTTTTGACTCTCAATTTTAAATAAACAACGTGGCATTGAAGACTGAGCCACAGGAATAATGCCTGGTGAATAAGACATGTAAGTTGAAATCTTTGTTTTTTAAACAAATCAAAGTGAAGTTTCATGATGTTAATGATATCATTAACTTTTTATTATTATTGGAAGTGTGCAATAAATTGTCCCAAATCAAACTTCCTTTTCCCATACCTATGGCTCTGAACCTAACAGATTATCATACTACTATCCTTCCTACTTGGAAAGTATACCTTCAAACTGATCTCTACATGCATAAAATATTCCATTATCTTTTCATTCCAGTTTTCCCATGGCTTTTTAAAGGCCCCTTAGCAGTATCTAAAAAGGAGAAGTTATCATCCAGAGGAAAATGCTGTATTGTATATATCAAATAAGAAGAATCTACGGTACATACAATTATACAAATTGTGGGTAATGCTAAGACCTTTTATGAGCATATTAACTTTAATGACGTCTTTTATTTTCAAAAGGTACAGAGGTAGCATTGTTCTCTTATTTATAATTCTGGTAAAAACAGACAGTATAGGAAGAATAACTTAAAGAAAACCACGTGGAGGATAGGCCAGAATTTGGAAGCTAATAAATATTAACCACCTTAATTTTGGGGGAGTAAGATAACTTGTTGTTTCCCTAATATGGATGGTAGAAAAAAACCCATATGGACAGTGGAACTGGCGTGGTTAACTCTTATAGAATACTACCTACAGGGTCTAAACTCAACACATTTCGTTAAGAATGGCTTGTTTTTCAAAGAATGGAATTCAGAATGGAAAAAGAAAAGCCATGCAAATGGAATCTTATTTTAGTAATCACCTACTCTTCATAAAACTGCTCCTTGGTTAGAGCGTTATCTTCTGATAGAAATAAAATACATTTACTGGAGAAAAACCAAGAGACATGAAACTATCAAGAAGAAAATAAAAATGGCCCAAAATAGTTTTTTCACCTAAGCCAATGCACCGATGTTGTAAATACAACTATTCTAATTTTACTATTTTAAAGAAAATAACCTTAATGAGAATTAATAGTTGACTGTAAGAGCCTTTACTAACTGAAGACCATCCACAGAAAAGGAATATTTACTTGTAAAGCACATTCTGATTTCATTTCCCATAAGCCCCCAGGAGTAATACAAGCACATCAGATGTGAAAGGTAATATATGTGTGCCACAAGCCCAAAGCGAAATAAGAACTGCAATGGTCTTCCTGCCAAATTACTCTCTTTGCTCTATTCATGTCTTTTCCTCAGGTTTTTTTTTCTCCAAATGCAGACACAGAACCTTTCAAAGTGATTAGTAACCCCCTGCTGCAGGGCTAACATGCTGTATTAGTTGCATAATGAGTAGGCAGCAGCCGAAACTCAATTTGAAGTCATTAAACGGGTCTATTCACCCTATCCCTGAAGCTTTAAACAACGAGGCCAGTTGAACCTGCCCTTTGACCTGCAAATGCTAATAACATCAAGATGTTTCTTTAAAAATCCTCTGCTGCTACAGGAAACAGAAAGACCACCCCTTCTTCCCTCCCCCCTTCTGGGCAAATTTCAGACACAGGAGTAAATATCAAAGCAAAAGCTCAAAATCCTTTGATAATTCCTTCACCCTTGAGAACACCACAATGTGAGCACCTCAGACAGCAAAAGAATGTCTTACAATCACTCTTTGAATGATGGGGTTAACAAACTAAGGAGGCATCCTTAGTAAGTTTAACTGTGCTTAATAGAAATCCAAGGCAGGAAAAGTAGTATGAATAAGGGGATGCTGTTATTTTCTCTTCCTTTAAATGGGTGTTTTCTGGTTTTGTTTTGTTTTTTAAATCATTTTATTGGGGGCTTATACAACTCTTATCACAGTCCATCCATCCATCTTGCCATCATCATTCTCAAAACACTTGCTTTCTACTTGAGCCCTCGGTATCAGCTCATTTTTTTCTCCTCCCTCCCCAGTCCCCCCTCCTCCATGAACTCTTGATAATTTATAAATTATTATTAGTTTATCATATCTTACACCATTCAACATCTCCCTTCACCCACTTCTCTGCTGTTCATCCCCCAGGGAGGAGGTTATATGTAGATCCTTGTAATCTGTTCCCCCTTTTTCCCTCCCCTTCCCTCCACCCTCCCAGTATCAACCACTCTCACCACTGGTCCTGAGAGGTTCATCTGTCCTAGATTCCGTGTGTTTCCAGTTCCTATCTGTACTAGTGTACATCCTCCAGTCCGGCTGGATTTGTAAGGTTTTGAATTGGGATAATGATAGTAGGCGGGGTGGGGGGAGCCTTCAAGAACTAGAGGAAAACTGTCTGTTACATCATTGCTACACTGCACCCTGACTGGCTCATCTCCTCCCCGCGGCCCTTCTGCAAGGGGATGTCCAATTTCCCACAGGTGGGCTGTGGGTCCCCAGTCTGCACTCCCCTTCATTCACAATGCTGTGACTTTTTTTTTTGGTCTTTGATGCCTGATACCTGATCCCTTCGACATCTAGTGATCTCACAAGCTAGTGTGCTTCTTCCATGTGGGCTTTGTTTTTTTCTCAGTTAGATGGCCCCTTGTTTGTTTATCTTCCAGCCTATAGGACCCCAGATTCTATATCTTTTGACTGCTGGGCACCATTTGCTTATGTACCTGCTTTGTCTTCAGCCATCGTGTCCGGATAGGCTGGTGTGCTTCTTCCATGTGGGCTTTGTTGTTTCTTAGCTAGATGACCGCCTGTTTATCTTAAAGCCTTTAAGACCCCAAACGCTATATCTTTTGATAGCCGGGCACCATCAGCTTTCTTCCCGACATTTGCTTTGTCCACTAAATGGGTGTTTTCAAATGGAAGGATGGCATAATCATTTACCATCCATGCATAATAGTCCTGAAACCACCAGGAAAGAGATGGAGGAAAAGCAAGAGTGAGACTAGTAGCATTGGATATGTTAGAGCCATCCCCACTCCTGGGGCCCTAGGCTGACATTTAAATGATCTGAATTCTTCTTTGCTCCACATAGCCAATATTCGAGTTTTACTGATTCTTTCTATGGCTTTGAATGAGTCCACTTCCTTTGTATCTGAATATCTGGAACCACGGTCACTATCATCCTTTCAATTAGGGTCTCTTCTTTGATCCCACCGCCATTCTACACTGCCCACTCTTCCGATGTCATCTGCATCACCTCTCCTTCCACATCCAACACACTGGCCTACTATTTAAGACTACACTACATTGCTTTGGGA